TTGACACATGTTGAATGAGCAAGTCAGAAGTGCCTGGAGCTGGACCCAGTAGCACAGGCTTATTGTTCCCCATAGTTATTACCTCGGCCTTGAATTTTCTGCTTCAAAAATTATTATCAGATCTTTTGAGGGCATGGGAAACAACATTCTTTGAGAAATGGCTGAAACAGGATAGTTGGGGGTGGCAGCTATCAGTTAGGGGATGGAACAGGAAAAGAGAGAATGGCATGGGAGAGGGAGGAAGGGGAGTAGGAGAGAAAGATGTTTCCCTTCCTCATAGCTGTCCTCAGATGGGCTGGATAGAGAGCCTCAGGGGTGCTTCTGGAAAGTTCTGTCTTTGGACCCCTTTCTATGAGGAGAGTCAAGGTAGCCTTTTCTTCCAGTTCTCCACGAACTGAGACCTGTGACAGGAGGGCCTGTGGGAAAGGCACCGAGTTGCTGCCCCCCCACCCCCATCCATCCTGAGCTTGGGGAATGGGATAATGGCTCCTTGCTCAGAGCCTGCACTGGGCCCCTCCTGGAAAGCAGCCCAAGGATGTAAACTGTTTATAGAAGTCTCCCTGACTGAGAAACTTCTGTCTGAGCATGCCTGCTGAGGTTGGACTGAAATCCAGATGACAGAGGCCACGCCTGAGGTCTGGGACATAAACACCTCCTGTTCCCAATGCTTGCCACTGCTGTGCAGATGCTCATGTGGAGACTCCCAGGGAGCAGTTCTTCCCTGAGGACCTTTGTGCAGCTTTAATCCCCAGAGCAGTCCTGTGAGTTGCTGTGGCTGTCATTTCCACTGTACCTTCGAGAACACAAGGCTCAGAGACATCTAGTAACTTCTTGAAGGGCACACAGCTAACTTGTGGAGCAGTCAAACTCAGCGCTGTCTCTCTTCCAGGTTGTCTCTTTCCTTCCTCGGTTGCTCAGCTCTGGCCTATATGTCTGAGTGGAACTTTAGTATCTCACTTTCTCTACACAACTCTTGACGGTTCTCAAAAGGGGAAGGAAGAAAGCAATAAATGAGCAGCGATATGACGGTGCCAGTCACACTGGGTCTGTGTTTACACATAGATTGCTGCTGACAAAGTAGAAAATATCAGATCATGGAGTCAAGATATGGGCCAACATCCCCCCTCCTGGTAGAAGTACATAAATGAAGGGTTTATGTTGGCCCCGTCCCAGGGGGTCTGTGTCTTTGTTAGTTAGGGCTTGTCTTGGTTGTGTCTCTATTGCTGTGACAAGACACTATAGCCAAGACAACTTAGAAAAAAAGTGTTTAATTTGGGCTTACTGTGTCAAAGGCTTAGAGTCCATGAGGGTGGGGCAAAGCCAAGTTGACAGGAACATCTGAGAGCTTACTTCTTGATGAGCAAGTGGAAAGCAGAGAGAGAGAGAGAGAGAGAGAGAGAGAGAGAGAGAGAGAGAGACGGAATGGTACAGTTTTGAAACCTCAAAGCCCACTCCCAGTGATAAACCTCATGTATCAAGGCCACACCTCCTAAGCAATCTTAAACAGTTCCATGACTGGGGCCAAGTATTCAAACATGGACTTATAGGGGCCGCTCTCATTTAAACCTCCATAAGATTGCTGTAACAGAATACCAGAGAGTGGATAACTCAAGCCATATGCTTTTATTGCTTAAAGGTTAGCAGGCTAGAAATCCAAAATCAAGCCACTAGAAGATTGTGTATGGGTGGAAAGCCTGCTTCCTGGCTTTCTTGATCTGTCCTCAGATGGTAGAGGCACATTGAGGTGCTCTCTGGTCCCTTTTACAGGTGTGCTACCCCCATCCATGAGGTCATGCTGTGACAACTTAGTTGCCTCTCAAAGGCCCTAACTCCTAGTGCCCATAAAGTAGGTGTGAGATTTCAGCATACGAATTTGAGAGATAATGAACATGAGACTGTAGTTTAGAAGACTTGGTAATTCTGCACAAAATCAGATAAACCAAACCATAGCACCTACTGCTCAGCATTAATCTATGGAATAAAAGAGAAGGAAGCCTGACTTTCCCATTTTTAAAGCTCCAGTTACAATCATGAAAAGGCAGAGAGAACTACTTGGTCTACCGTGTATAAAGGGAGATAGCCACCACCATGCTCTCCTCTGAGACTGGACCTTGTTCAAAGGGACCGAGTATCAAGCATGGGCTGGAGACTCCCCAGGAGTAGCCATTCTTCCAGCATCTGTCCTGCCCTGGACATTCACCCCAGTCTCCCAACCCTCAGTCAACACTGGCCTCAGCCCTGACATGTATTGGGTGCTGGACATACAAGCAGAAACATCTCAACACTTTCTTGGGGTGCTTTCAAATGGACGGAAGTGGCAATGGAGAGTTCCGACTATTAGCCATTAGACAAGGTGGAGAGCCTGCTGCACGGGAGGCTCAGTCTCCCCACTGCACACGAGTCTCCCCAGTGCACATGAGTCTCTCCACTGCACATGAGTCTCTCCAGTGCACATGAGTCTCCCCACTGCACATGAGTCTCCCCACTGCACATGAGTCTCCCCACTGCACACGAGTCTCTCCAGTGCACATGAGTCTCCCCACTGCACGAGTCTCCTCACTGCACATGAGTCTCCCCACTGCACGAGTCTCCTCACTGCACATGAGTCTCCCCAGTGCACATGAGTCTCCCCAGTGCACATGAGTCTCCCCACCGCACATGAGTCTCTCCACTGCACATGAGTCTCCCCACTGCACATGAGTCTCCCCAGTGCACATGAGTCTCCCCAGTGCACATGAGTCTCCCCAGTGCACATGAGTCTCCCCAGTGCACATGAGTCTCCCCAGTGCACATGAGTCTCCCCAGTGCACATGAGTCTCCCCAGTGCACATGAGTCTCCCCAGTGCACATGAGTCTCCCCAGTGCACATGAGTCTCCCCAGTGCACATGAGTCTCCCCAGTGCACATGAGTCTCCCCAGTGCACATGAGTCTCCCCAGTGCACATGAGTCTCCCCAGTGCACATGAGTCTCCCCAGTGCACATGAGTCTCCCCAGTGCACATGAGTCTCCCCAGTGCACATGAGTCTCCCCAGTGCACATGAGTCTCCCCAGTGCACATGAGTCTCCCCAGTGCACATGAGTCTCCCCAGTGCACATGAGTCTCCCCAGTGCACATGAGTCTCCCCAGTGCACATGAGTCTCCCCAGTGCACATGAGTCTCCCCAGTGCACATGAGTCTCCCCAGTGCACATGAGTCTCCCCAGTGCACATGAGTCTCCCCAGTGCACATGAGTCTCCCCAGTGCACATGAGTCTCCCCAGTGCACATGAGTCTCCCCAGTGCACATGAGTCTCCCCAGTGCACATGAGTCTCCCCAGTGCACATGAGTCTCCCCAGTGCACATGAGTCTCCCCAGTGCACATGAGTCTCCCCAGTGCACATGAGTCTCCCCAGTGCACATGAGTCTCCCCAGTGCACATGAGTCTCCCCAGTGCACATGAGTCTCCCCAGTGCACATGAGTCTCCCCAGTGCACATGAGTCTCCCCAGTGCACATGAGTCTCCCCAGTGCACATGAGTCTCCCCAGTGCACATGAGTCTCCCCACTGCACATGAGTCTCCCCGCTGCACATGACTCTCTCCTCTGTACACTATCTCCACTGCACACTGAGTCTCTCCACTGCCCACAAATCTCTCCACTGCCCATGAGTTTCTCCACTGCACACTGAATCTCTCCACTGCACACTGAGTCTGTCTACTGCACTCTGAGTCTCTCCACTGCATGTAAGTCTCTCCTGCTCTGCTTAGCTGCTCCAGTTTAGAGAGGAAGCAGCACAGGCCCAGTCTCACCTCTACCATCCCAACCTGGCCCTGGTTCCAGTTGCTACCTGTTCAAGTGTCCCTTTCCTTTGGGTGACATCCTCTCTGGGCATGTTTCCTGTCCTGTTGGCAGACTGGATCAGGACCTTCAGAACCTAACAAAGGGCTTGGTATCACAGACTCGAAGCAGAGAGTGAGTCTCAGCCTCTCTTCCTAAGAGGTCTGCATGATCTGAATGTGCCCTTCCCCAAGTCATATCTTGAGACTGAACTGTCAATGAGAGAGTGTTAGGAAGTCATAGATACTGAGGGCAGAGCTCTGACGAATGAGATTGGTGACCTAAAAAGAAATGTGCCTCCACCTTTTCACCATCTGAGGAGACAGAAAAGGCGATACGCATGAGGGAAAGGCCCTCGGCAGACATGAGATCTCCTGGAACACTATTCTTGGATTTCCTAGCCTCCGAACTCAGATAAAGAAATATCTGTTGTTTGTGTATTTCTCAGTCTAGAATAGCCCCCTTTAGCCCACAAGAGCTACATCCCAAACTCCTAAATCTGGAACCACAGAATACCAAGCCCTGTAAATACTGTTTTTTTCCTATGCATTTATATCCATGATTACTTAATTTATAAATCTGACACAGCAGATTAACAACAGCTAATAATAAAATAGAAGTTATAACGTTATATAGGCATAAAATTATCAACATTGTTACTTTTGTTCTTTGATGTCATTGATCAGCTACACAAAGATGGCTGGAATGGGAAATGTCCCTCATGGCCTCATGAATGTCAACACTTGGTTTAGAACCTGAGATGCTGTTTGGGGATGTGGTGGGTCACTGGGGTCAGGCCTTTGAGAGCTACAACCTTCTCCATTTCCCTGCCATTTCCTCTGTGCTTCCAGATCTCCCCCGCCCCCCCAAAAAAACCAAACCTGAGCAGAGCAGCTGTCAGAGCTCCAGCCAACATGCTTCTTCACTGGGATGGTTTTCCCCTAAACAATCCTCTCCTCTCTAAGTTTCTTCTGTTGGGTATTTTGTCACAGTGTCAAGGGAAATAATCCACATATGGGCTATGCTATACCACAAGAGTCTGGTAGCCAGGCTACTACGTGACTAATGGGCATGTTGAGTATTCAGCCAGGGGACTAGACAAAGCAAAGAGTCACAGGTAGATGGGACAGGCAGACCAGCACCTCACCAGTAAGTACCTCACCATCCAGATGAGGCACAGCTGTAATTTTTAAAATTACATTTATTCATTTTGTTTATGTGTGTACATGTGTGGGGTACATCCCATAGCGTGCGTGTACATGAAGTCAAAGGACAAATTTTGGGAGTTGGTACTTTCCTTTCACCATGTGAATCCTGGGGATCAAACTCAGGTCATGGAGCTTAGCAGCAAGCCCCTTTACCCACTGAACTCTCTCACAAGCCCCTGATGCACAATTTAAAATGGAAGAACCATTTGTCTCTGAAAGTTTCCATTTCATATTTTCAGGCCATATTTGATGCACATAACTGCAGGTGACTGAAACTCAGGTAAGAGGGAATGCTGTCATTTGTCACAGGTGCAGGTCCACATGAAGATTAGCCTCTTTCCCCTACCAAGTTCAGATTTACTCATCTCCTTCTCTTACGAGGTGGATACTGAGAACAGCAGGTTTGTCCAGCTACAAAATAGCCTGTTAAGCCAAGGCAACCAGTGTCTTTTTACCAAACATTTGCATACTTGAATGAGAGCATTCTAAAAGCCAAAGATTATCCGCTCCTGGGTGGCTTCCTGTGGTTCCTTGGATCCGAAGTTTGGGGCCATGTCTCTTGGGTAAGCCCTACACACAAGGCTTCCTGTTAAAACCACCGGATTATTAGTAGCTAACCTTCAGATGCACTTGGAGTGCTGTGGCTCTGCCCAGTGGTACAATGCTCGCCTGGCTCTGGTGAGGGTCCTAGTCCATGCCAACAAAGAACAGACAAGAGGTTTCAGAAACTGCTCAGGTACCAGCCCATTCTCAACACCTTTCCTGCCTTACACATGGAGTGTCAGAGCCCCCTTATGAGGTGGGCTCTAGGGGTAGATTCTCTGTAAGGAAAGCAAGAAGTTTTTTTCCCAGAGAGCAGATCTCTAAAAGAAAGTAGCAAAGAGGTCCCAGGCTCTGCTTCCTAAGGAGGCTGAGTACAGCTGGGAGGATCAGATGAGGGAAGTGTATTAGACAAGAGCAGAAGGGCGATGACCAAATGGCATGGAGCCCAGTAGAGGAGGAGGCAGAGTGTCGAGGCAGCAAGAACTTTTGTGGAGAAGCTTGACTCTAAGAGAGTAGGGACAGTGAGGATCTCTACTACTCTTTGGTGTGTGACCCATTGTGTAAGTCTTGACATCCAGCCCTGTATTTTTCCCAGTCTTCTGTAGTTAGAATCACACAATTGATTGGCTTCTGGATATGCCCACAGGCAGCGTTATTCAGTTCACATAAAAAGTTAGGATGAAGCCCAGCATAGTGACATATGTCTGAAATCCTAGCACCTGGGAGGTGGAGGCAGGAGGATCAGGAATTCAAGGTTAGCTTTGGTTCCACAATGAGCTCAAGGCCCACCTGAGTTACATGAGATGTTGGCCCCCAAAGACAAATAATAGCAGCAGCAACAACAAAAACCCACAATTAAAAATAATAGGTATTAGTAGGGTTACTTGTTGACATTTGGAATTCTTGAACACTGTTGGTGGGGATGTAAAATGGTAATGTGCTATCGGCTACAGCATATTCCTTCCTGAAGTCACCATATGATCCAGCAATTGCATGTGTCCAGAGGAATTGGAAATTAATGTTTGAGCAGATATCCACACCCCAGTCTTTATAGTAGCACCATTATAATTACTAATGCAGTGCATACACACGGTAGAACATTGATGAGACTTAAAAAGGAATGAGGACATGACACATGCTACAACACACATGAACCCGAGAACATCTGCTCTGTAATATAAGCTAGTCCCAGACAGACAAACGTGTGAACTACTTACATGAGGCGCCTAGAGTAGTCTTTTCAGATGAAAAGACATTTGGAGACATATTGCAGTGCTGATGGTCACAGAACTAAAAAATGGCCCTCATGCTATGAACTATATCCCTAAACATGGCTGGATGGAGAATGTCCTTATGTGTACTTCACCACTGTTAACAAAGAACCCTACAGTGGTCCTTGAAGTAGGCTCCGTGACTCTCATAAGGTGCAGGAAGCTCAGTAGCTTGCCGAGTTATACATGAAAACCCCGCCCCACTCCCTGTGTGTCACCATCTCCTTGGCACCTGACCGTACAGTTCCCACTCAGGGAGAAGCCCAGGACACCAGGCATGGGCCAGTGCCACAGAGATTGGTCTTGGGGAGCCCTGGTTTCTCTTTGCTGTGCCCTTCCTCCAATACTTGATTTTTCTGGTGCTCATGTTTCCTCCCCTGCCTTTCTCTCATCAGAATACGCTGGGTGGGGGAGGGGCACCTGATCACTCATTTATACGAATCCATGGTGTGAATTTGAATCAATGGACAGCCTCTCCAAGGGGCGCTTGCATTTTAAGCTTCATCACCTTCTATGAAATGAAAGGCTTTGTTTCCTATTGAAGGACTTTCAGGCATCAGAGAGCAAGAGGGGAAGGATCAGAGGGGATCGGTGGCAGGTAGGGCAACCAAACCCAAGAAATGCATTAAATGGCAGAAGCTTTAGGCTGTGTTAGAGGGAGGCCTATTTAATGGACAGGCCGATCTGCAGGGCTTCACAGAGATGTGAAGTGCAAGGCAGGGGAGCTAAGTGGCCAGGCAGTTTACATTAAACCCTCCCGATTGAGCAAGCTTTGACTCCTGATTTCCACACTCCAGACTCTGGTTTGTCATCAGAACTATTCACACCCAGGAAAAGGAATGCAGGGGGCTGATTTCCTTAGGGTGTCATTTTCCCAACAGCTCTCCATTCCTGTTCTCTGCTTGCTGCATGGTAAAATTCCAAGCAGCTGGGCTTGGCAGCTGTACATCTCTGTCCACAGAGCCTGAGCAATGATTTTTTTTTTTTTTTTAATGCATGGCTGGCATAGAACGCCATGCAATGTGTAAGGCAGACATGTATGTGCATGGGTGTCTTTTAGGTGCTTCTGACTCAAGACAGCAGTCCTAGGGAGTAGGAGTGACACTGTGCCAACAGTACCCAGGTTCAGAGCTTGTTCCTGACACAGGCTTCCTGGTTGAGACCATATACCACCCCCTGCCTGTGTATGACCTTGGTAAGTTTAACATTGCCAACCTCACCTCTGTTTCTTACTCTCTGCAATGGGTAACAAATGAGGTGTCTGTGCCGTGGGTCACCACAGAGACAAATGCACCAGCCTGACTGTCACCTTTGTGGGGTATGGAGCTTTATTTCTAGCTCACAGCTTCCTGAGGAGGGACAGTGTAGCCTGAAGCTCCGCCAAATCTCTCACACCCTTCTTGCCAGCTCAGACTGCACATGTGTACCCTGAAGCCCTTGAGGCTGTCATGAGAGTAAACGAAATGCCCTGTGTGCTTTGTCTGGTGTTTCACTCAATAGAGATTAGCTACTGTCACCTTAATAAATATTAAATGAATGCACAACTCAACTGGCATACCTGAATTTGATCTGAGTCAACACTGTAAGAGAAACAACTCAACTCAACAGTAGATAGTACTAAAATATTCATGCATAGCAATGAGATGAATTTTTATGCTAATCATTGACTAAGGATTTCTTGAATGTCAGAGAATGTAATACCAATCAGAGAGACGTCCATGCTTATGAGGATGAGGACACAGCTGAGAAGAGGCCAATTGCAAAAGTGTTAGATAGCTTTGTTGAAGCCCATGAAGAGACAGCTACTTCCTCCTGGTCAGAAGAATTGAATCTGAGTTCTCTCTCTGGTCCTGGGTAGAGAACTCACAGTCTAAACTGCCCAAGATATCACAATTGTCTTCTCATTTAAGAGTGAATCCAGTTGGGCCTGTCAATCACCAGGAGGCTACCCCTCGGGAAAGCCTTTCACCTGAAGATGCTGGAGATAGGAAGATAATTATCCCCTCAATGAGATAATGTATGGATACCCCCAGAAGCACCCCAATTCAGCTGTTTACAGATCTTTACTGCTAAGACTGCCTGTTATCCTCAGTTCTAAGTAAAAAAAAAAAAAAAAATGTAAGCCCCACCCCACCCCCTCTCTTCTTTGGATACTGGCCAAGTCCTCGTAATGTTTGCATTGGTTCTCCATATACTCTCACTCTTTCTTCAACCCCTACCACACCCAGCTGCTTGTCACCCTCCCTTGCTGAACCTACCTACTCTCTTGAACCCTGACTCAAAAGGCAGGTCATTCTCTCTCCATCTCCCTCCTCCACCTCCCTCCTCCAGGCAACTGTGATTCCCTCTCCATCTCCCTCCTCCATCTCCCTCCTCCAGGCAGCTGTCAAGGTTTATAGCTCGCTGGCCCTGTGGTTTACTCTCAGGCTCCAATAAAATAGTCTTTAAGCTTCCCCCTGAGTCTAGTTGAAATTATTTTATTAATGAGACCAAGAATCCACAAAGGGAAACCCCAGTTCCCCTTTGGCCTCTCTTCGGCTCTGCTCTGCCTTGCTTAGTGGCCCCTCTGGGGACAAACTGATCTTAGAGATCATAACATGAAAACCTGAGTTTCAGCAGAGTCGTCCTCACTCTCTAAGCTTGGTGCCTGGAGACTGATGCCTTCCTAGAAGAAGAGAAATTGTGTATTCCATTAAGTTAAGAGATTTTCCTCTCTCAGCTCTGCCTACTTGGCAGGCTGCATGGAGAAGTAAGAGTAAACACAGCTAGTGGTGCTATCTATAAAGAGATGTTCTTAGAATTGCAGCTTACATACAGAGGCCAGGAAGATTACACTGAGACAGAGGTGGGAGGGTGGGAGGGACAGAGACAAAGAGAGAGACACACACAGGGAGAGAGAGATAGACAAAGAGAAACACACACAGAGGGAGAGACATAGGCAGAGAGAGGGAGAGATAGAGACAGAGACAGAGAGGCAAAGAGGGAGAGAGACAGAGCAAAGAAAGAGACATCAAGACAGAGACAGAGAGACAGAGATGGAGAGAAACAGACAGAAACAGAGAGGCAGAGAGAGATGGAGAGAAATTGTATTTTTACATTATGCATGCCCCCAAACCCCAAAACTCCTATGGTGCCCCCCACCCCTGGGAAACTGGACTAAGAGGAAAGGCCCCATGCTCCTTGTGAGAGTTAACCCAGGGGCTGGGGAGATAGCTCTGGCTGCCTTGTGGGCTTTCGGGGCAGATTTTGATCTCCTGGACCCATGTTTAAAAAAAAATGCCAGGCTTGGGGGTTCATGGTTGCAATTCCAATGCCAAGGAAGTGGAGACAGAAGTTCCCTGAGGCATTCTAGCCAGTTAGCCTGGCTCACTTGGCAATTTCAGGTCAGTGAGACTGTCTCGCTGGTGGACAGTACTCAAGGAAGGACACTTGAAGTTGTCCTCTGAGCTCTAAATGACCCCCCCCCCACACACACACACAGGGTAACTCAAGCTCTTTTTGTTCAGTCCAGTTAGGGCCTTCCAGGAACAGTTCAGAGCCCTCCTGTACTTGTCTCTCCTTTTCTTTGGGTTTGGTCTCTAGAGAAGCCTGTGTAGTGTGCTTCCCTGTTTAGTGAGAATAAGCCCTGAGGTTCACACTGGCTTTTCTGACCTCTGTGGGAACAGCCTTCATGGGCCCCCTTGTTCCTGGACGATGTGCCAACCCACCCTCCTCCACCATGTTCACCTGGGTCCTCCTGGGAGATAAGGTCACTGGCCTTCACCAGGAGGCTAACAGCTGAACATCAATACCCATTCTTTACTCCCGCCAAAGTCATAGAACAGTTAGTCAGATAAACTACTACTCAGGAGAAAGACTGCATTCTTCATCCTTCCCAGTGACTAGGCATGGTCACATGTCCTGATCAGTGAGACTAGAGGAATGTGTGGCTAGGCATGGTCATATGTCCTGAGATTTGAGACATGGAGTGTGGGGCTCTGGAGTCGCATACCATGTCTTTTCTTCCTCCATCACAGGCTGGAACATGAGCAGAATGAGGAGCTATTATTGACCACGTGGTGACAGCAACATCCTAGGAAGGATGGACCGGGATTCGAGGCAGCTGGGTCCCTGGAAACCCCAGAATCTACATCCTTTTCTAACATTGTCCAGGCAACCACTTGGCTGTGGTTTAGTTGCTGATTGGGATGTTCCCAGCAGGCTGAATCTCTGATATCCTCTCTCTTCTTTCACCCCAAGCAAGGGTTGAGTCTCTCTTCTCTCACACCTTCTATTGCCTCGAGCCAAGGCTAACAGGCTTACAGGACCATGAAAGCCCAGGCTACAGATCTATTGTTTGGTTTTGTGTGGGGTTTTTGCTTGTTTGTAACTTTGCTTTTTGTTTTTTGTTTGTTTGTTTGTTTGTTTGTTTGACAGATTCTCATTTTGTAGCTTTGGCTGGCATGGAACTTACAGTGTAGATGATGCTGGCCTGAAACTCACAGAGATCCTCCTGTCTCTGCCTCCTAAGTGCTGGGCTTAAAGGCACATGCCACCATCCCCTGGAAGGGGTTTTGTTTTGCCAAGGGTAATCTTGAACTCACAATGTAGTCAAAAACAATCCAGAATTCCTGATCCTCCTATGGTCACCTCCCAAGGGCAGGGATTACATCTAAATGTCACCATGCTGTTTTGACTTTGCACATCTTTAAACTTCGTAATGGTTGTCTGAAATGAGCTATGGGAGAAATATTTACACTATGGAAATTGGCATACATTTTTTCCTTCTGAAGAGCCAGTGTTCAAAGACAGCACTGTCCATGGATGTCTCATCCTGTGGCCAGAGAGAGAGAGAGAGAGGGGGGGGGGGGATCAGAACCCCCCTGAGGCAGCAGCAGCTCAAGGGTCTCTGAGGTCTTCACAGGCAGCAGAGTGCCAAGCCCCGCCTACCATCTTATACCTCCAGAACTCAGCACAACACAGATTTATTTGTCCCAGAGGGACAAAGGGCAGAGAATGGGAGATAGAAGATGTGGGAGAAGGGGAAGGGGACAAGGGAGAGGGGGACAAAGGACAGCCTCTGGGTAGAGAGGAGACAGACGTGACCCACAGGCAATGCAGTTTATAAAGGGAAAAGGGGAAGCCCACGTGAGGATGAGGTGTTTAATTTTAGTTGGGCATGTTAATTAGGTGAGCCAAAGGGGGATTTTGATTGCCAGACTTTAATAGCAGGACTTGGTGGTCAGCCTCAAGAGGAGGAAGTGGCCAAATATGGAAATAGACCTTGGTGGCTAGCTTTAGGAATGTAATCTAATGGTTTTTAGCAAGGCAGAGAGAATGGGGGAAGGGCAAGCCTGTTTCCCGCTCTCAGGCTGGCTAGATTCCCTTCAAGTCTATCCTAAGTCCACATCCCAGGGCCAGTCTCTGCCCTGAACTGGAGACTGCACTGCCCTGGGAGGGCCTTGTTTGACCCATGTAGTACTCAGCAAGGAGAGGCTAGATCTAATCTTAGCTGCCCGGGTGACTCCTGGTGCTTTGAAACCAGCACAGTACTGTCCGGCTGAACATTTGCCAAACTTGACTCACAGAGTATGAGTCCTGACTGAGGCCCATTGGACATTCCGCGAGCAGAGATTCCTGACAAGGCATGACTTGGCATTTTCCCTCAGGTCAGATGCAGCAGCTAGCGGCCGGCCGCACTTCACAGTGCAAAGGCCTGTGTCCTCTACACACCTAAAAGCCCCGAATACTTTTTTATTTCTGGAGTCACTCTAAGGGGCTACAGCCCCTACCTCACTCTGTAGAATTTTTGAAGTGCCTCAGAGCTACTTCCTAGTCTGAATTCCTGCTTCCACAAAATATGGATGCAGCTCCCCGTCCCACCCGGGTTTAGAAGGCTGCCCCCTGCCTCACTGTTCCTAGCAGTCTTCCTATTTGCCCAAAGGCCACCATTGTAATTTTGTCATATGTAACAGATTATGGCTGGAGGTTTTAGGGGTCAGTAGAGGGGTATTTCAGTTCCTGGAGGGGCAAGTAAATGGTTTAAAATGGACAGTGTGGTGTCAGAAATCAGCCTGGCATCCACACCTAAGCAAAGATCTCTGTGGTCAGCTTTCACCTGGTGTTGCCCTGTTTCCAGAGCCCTCTTCTCCGTTCAGGGTCTCCAACCCACATCTCGGCACCACACAGGAAGACAAGGATCATGCAGCTTTATCAGCTAGTGTTGTCCAGTCCCTCTCCTTGACACATTGGCAATACCCTCTCAACTATTTCTGACTCTTTTTATAGCCAACCAGGTCCTGTAAAGACTTAGTAATTCCATAGATGGCCACTTATCACTAAGACCAATACCATCCTTGTGCTTTATTTACGTGGAGTGACTGTCAAAATAAATAAACAGAAATCAGGAAATAGTTTGGTAACTCCACTTCTGGGTTCAGCCCCAAGACTTGAAAGCAGGTGCTCGGACAGTTGTGTGTGTGTGCCCATGTTCAAAGGAACATCATTCTCAATAGCCCAACAGTATGAACACTGAAACGTCTACCAGCAGATGGACCACAGAATGAGGCACATACATACAGTGGACTGGGCTTTTAAAAAGAGTTGCATTCTGACTCACTAACAACACAGAAGAGCCTGTAGACTACGATGCTGGGCTGGAGAGACGGCTCAGTGGGTAAAGGTGTTTACCATGCAAGCAGATCCCACCGAGAAAAGAGAGACCCCCTCAAAGTTGTCCTCTGTCCTCTGACACTGTGATACATGTGTACCCATAAACAAACCACACACACACACACACACACACACACACAGAGAGAGAGAGAGAGAGAGAGAGAGAGAGAGAGAGAGAGAGAGAGAATAATAAATATCAGCTTCCCAGATACACAAAGGTAGTTGCTGTCAGGAGTTGAGAAAAGAGAGATGGGGGACTATCTATTAATGGACTGTTTTGACTTTAGTAATGGATAATGACAATGGCTGTACCACACAGCATGAATATTCTTAATGTCACTGAACTGAACACTTGGAGATAGACAAAAACAAAACAAAACAAACAAACAAACAAAAAACCCAAACCAAAAAACAACCCCATAAGGATTGTGTATGTATACTTTTTATCACGACCTAAGAACACCTCAGGAGGATCTTGAGTCCTTTTATCCTCTACCTCTGCAGGCAAGGCACCTTCCCACATCCACCCATCCCCAGGGAGCCCCGAGATGGGGGCAGGTGAAGACAGAGGGCTGGGAGGGCCAGCACAGAGACACTGTTGTGACACAGCTGTGCCCAGGCAGCAGAAGGGGCCTCTCCCTGGGGTGCAGTATCAAGGCTTGCTCATAGGTAAGCACCCCCCATTACAGACCCCAAATATTTTGCTGCTTTCTGATTTCACCTGTCTTTTGATGGAGAGCGAACCAGCGCTCTCCCTGGGATTATTCTTCACAATAAGCAGCAAGCAATTAATTGCAGCAGTTGAAATTTATTGTGTGCTTGCCTCAACTCAAAGCCAGCCTCTGCTGGCTGTTTATTTTTCACTGTTGATGCATTGCACACAGCAGCCCCAGAGCATCTGAATTTAGGGCACACACACCATTGTGCAGCATCCCCACTGCCACCTTCCCCTGATCTGACCTCATGCAATCCAGAGCTCAGAGAAGGGAACTCTTGATTGCTGGCCTACAGAAACAGTTGGGAGCAGAGGAAGCTTTGGGTTTTGTGCCTGGTGCACGTGGCTGGTGACTCAATTCATTTCAGGGTGCCCAGTCAATAAATCCTTACTAACCTGCCAGCACAGGCCACCCCCACGCCCCAGCTGTCACAGAAACCACCAGAATCTGAGGCTCTCTCTCAGATGAGCAGGAAGCACTCTAGCCTGTATCCTCTTCAGGACTGCACAGATGCCAAGGGGCATCTTCTGGCTTCCCCACCTCCCAGCCCCACCTCCTGCCTTACCCCATGTCACCTCACCCTACTCCCCACCCTGCCAAGTGACTGTCTAGAAAGGACTGTAAGTGTTGGTGCCTAACAAGGCAGAACAAAGGCCTGTGTGCTCATTGAGTGCCATTTGGAGTGCATGACAATTTCAGAGCACAAATGGAAAAAGAAAAAAAAAAGAGAGAAAGAAGGCTTGAAATCTATAGCTGGCTTTTATCAAACCAGGACTTGTAGGTCTTGCCTGACAATCAGCCAGCAGCTCCAACCCACGAGGGACACTTCTCACGCGCAGCTTCTGGCTGGCTATTAGCTCCCAGCAGCCTTCTGACCCTTTTTCCAGGGAAGTAACAGCTGGCAGCTGGCAAGGGGCTGGCAGAGTGGGCAGCTTTTGCATCTCTGGGAAAGGATGTAAGATTGGCAGGAAAGGAGGCATTTAAAATATGACTATTATAAGCATTTTCCACTCGCCTCTCCTTATTATGCGTTTGGATTCTGGCTCTGATTGCTAAAATGTATTGTGTGCTAAGGAGCCCCCCTCCCTTAACCGTAGATGTCCCAGCTTTTTCTCTGGGACTAATACCAGCCTACATAATGATGGATTCTGTGAGTGTTTTCTACTCAGCTCTCTTTCAAACAATTCTTAGCAGCAAAGAGGATGGACAGATGGCCATGAGACCCAGTTCAGGTGTGGGGCTGGTGACTCATCGAAACAGCATTAGCTCTCTTGGGCCTGTTGGGCAAGGCCTTGTGTGGTACCATGGCACTAGAGAGAAATGGATTTGGGGATGGAGTGACGTGGAGATGTATTAGCTGCCAGTAGAATGGATAATGTTGAATTTCGCCTGTTCTCTTTCTTGTATGTTCTAACCAGCTCTCCATCTTGGATCAGAAAGGGTGGTGGAGGTGGGGTCATGCACCAGGAAGTGGCAAGCAGAGCAAAGTGAGGGGACAATACCCCTCAGGGGAGTGGAAGGACTTTTGAGACAACTTCATGCTTCCAAGGACCTGTCCAGTGATGGTTAGGGCATTATTTGTATACCCTCACAAGAGGAGGACTGGGGTTCAGATTCAGGAGGCAGTGGCTGTGAGAGAAGGAAGAGAGGACATTCCACCTTCCGCATGGACTGTTGTTAATTATGCAGATGAATTGATACAAAGGCTTTAAGTTGGAAGGGACAGCTGTCATCTTGTTCCCACTCCAGCCCTGCATCAGGACCACATGGACTTTCCTGTGTTCAAAAGCCCCAGAGACAGGCTGCACCATTCATCCCTTAGTGGAGGCACTTCCTTGTCTGAAGGCTCATGGACCTGAGGTTTCCTTGCAGTCAGGAGTGTCCAGTGCCCTGTCTGGAGGAGCTAATGCATGCTGAGGGGCTAAACTGGCCTTGCTCAGTGGAACTTTGTCTTCTGTGGCAGCAACTTTGATGTGTGACTAAGAAATAAAGCAACAAAGGCAAATGTACTGAGCTTATCAAAGATAATGGCTGCGGCTTCACCAGAGAAACCAGTACTCTTGCTGGTGCCATTATGCTGACCCTGAGGAACCAAACACATTTCCTGTGAAGTAAAGAATAACACTTAGCTGTTCTTGTCAGCCCACAGCAAATGTAAAATAGGCAAAGTTCAGTATTAGAATTTTCCTACCCACTTGCTTACTGTTTCCCAGCTTCACCCCACCCCCAAGGTATTTACTGTTCTCCAGTGCCAGGAAAACAAAATAAACTACTTTATACTAAAGTGTCATTGATTCCCAGTGAATTCTACCCCAAGGACATTCGAAGTCTAGGTCTATCTGGATTCAATCAAGAAGGACAAACTACACTATAATTTGAACAGGCAACATATAAAACAAAGAATTGTTCATTATAATAAGGGATTAAGCCAACAAAGAATTGGCTAATAAAAAGTAAAGAGAACTCTAAAGGATACACGAATGGCAGGGGGAAGGAACAACCCTCGGAGGTTGAGATGAATGCTCGAGGGCCAAGTTCCAGACCTTGCTGAAGAGGGCACAGCAATGGCACAAGACGGTAGAGAAGTCTCTGGGACATGGCAGTGGAGACACATGGGTTGTCTTCTGGGTTGTCAAAAGAAGTTGGTCAGAGAGCTCACCTCAGGCACTCTGCTGTACACCTTGAGGTGGGGAGGTGCCAGGGAACAGCTCTCTTAAGTGCTACTGGTCACTGAGTATCCCAGCAGCTGGTGCTGCAGAAGCTGGAGAGCTGCCGATGTGGCAAGCATAAGGGCACTAGGGCAAACATCACTTCTTCACTGCCTCTCCGGGGCCTTCTACTGAAAAGCTTAACATTGTACTCACCACAGAGGAAAGAGTCAAAGGACACAGCTCCATTTTTGAAGAGTATTCAATGAATACTCTTCAGTGAATAAGAGGCAGCACCTTGACAATTAGCACATACTTTAAAAGATAGGTAATGAATGGTTCCGTGATAAGAATGCTTGCTGTGCACGTGTGAGGACCTGAGTTCGAATCTCATCACCCACGTTTAAAAAAAGCCAGATATGGTCAATGTGCCTGTAACACCAGCATTATGGGGCAGTAACAGGCAGGTTTCTGGAGCTCTCTGGCTAGATGACCTAGCCAAAACATTAAGCTTCAGATCCAGAAAGGGAATAAGGCAGACAGTGGCTAAGAAGACCCATGACATCCTCCTCTGGCCTCTGCATACATGCACACCCAAAGTATTAAAGACAAAAATGAATGCACTCAACACTCAACAGCACAAGACCTCAGCCATAAGTGTGTGTGTGTGTGTGTGTGTGTGTGTGTGTGTGTGTGTGCATATGCCTGTGTGAGTTCCTGTGAAGGCTAAAAGACAACAACCTCAGGTGTTGCCCTCCTTAGACACACCACCCACCTCATCTTCTAAAAGGGAAGACTGGTATTGTCATGTGAGTTCCAGGGATTGAACTCAGGTCCTCATGCTTACAAAGCAAGCACTTTACCAATTGCTCAGACCCCATCAAAGGAGAGGGGGCCATCCCTCTTTGGAGTTGTTTTTATTGGGTATTTTATAATTTACCTATTTGTGACTATTGTCTGTTGTGGGGGGAAGGGCACATGGGTGCTATGGTGTGCATGTGGGGGAATTACTCTGTGGAATTGGCTCTCTCCTTCCACCTTTACATGGGTTCCCAGGATCAACCCAGGTTTTTGCTGCAGGCTCCTTGCTCACTGCATTAGTTACAGCTGCTAGTGCTGTGATGAAACACTGTGACCAAAAGCAGCTTGGGGAGTGTGGTGGTTTGAATAGGTATGGCCCCTACAGACTCATGTGTTTGAATGCTTGGCCTATAGGGAGTGGCTTCCACTGTGACTCCACTGTGGAAGCAGGCTTTGAAGTCTCATATATGCTCAAGCCACGCCCAGTGGGACAGTTCACTTCCTGTTACCCAGGCCAAGTTGTAGAATTCTCAGCTCCTTCTCCAGGGCCACATCTGCCTGCATGCTACTGTGAAGATAATGAACTAAACCTTTGAAACTGTAATCCAGCCCCAATTAAATATTCCCCTTTATAAGAGTTATCATGGTCATGGTGTCTCTTCACAGCATGAGAAACCCTAACCGAGACAGGGAGTAAAGGGTTTATTTGGCTTACATATCCTGAATCACAGTCCACTGAGGAAAGCCAAAGCAGGGACTCGAGCCAGGCAGGAGCCTGAAGGCAGGAGCTGATGCACAGGTCATGGAGGAGTGTGGCTTGCAAGACTTGCCCAGCCTGCTTTCTTATAGAACCCAGGACCACTAGACCAAGGTGGTCCCACCCACAATGTACCGAATCCTCCCCCATCAATCACTAGTTGAGAAATGCCCTACAGGCTTGCCTGCAGCCTGATCTTACAGAGGTGTATTCTCAATTGAGGCTCCCCACCTCAAGTTGACATAAAACTGTCTGGCACATCCACTAACCCATCTTGATGGCCTTACCAGGTATTTTATTACAGTACAAATCCTAACTAATACACCCACAGAACAAAGTCTCCACGAGACTCAGCATCAGGGAGTCTTGTCTTTTCCCTCCTTTCTGGGAGTTGGTCATTGTCCCAAATAGGCTGGAAGTGGGTGCACATAACAGGATGCACAAAAGAAGCCCCTAGGCTCAAGTAAGTTCCAAGCAGGCTCAGCTGCCCTGTAGAGGAGCCTGGGGTTGGCAGGCATGCTTCTCACCCCAGTCTCTCCTTATTCGTAGTTGTCTCCATTTCCAAGTGTTCAGAACTCTTTATTTCCTCCATCTTACAACACACACATCTACCTTAAATATGTATCGAATACTTCTACACATTTTCCATCAGACAAACCCACTATGGACTCTTTGGATGTGGGTGGTGGAAAAGGAAATGCATGTGGGCTTCCTTCCACTCTGCAAAATCTAGCAAGGTACCCTTCGTAGTCCTCGGATTTCAGATTTTTATGGCCGCCAGACTTCCTACAGACCAGGAGACCTCTCTAATAAGACCTCAGCTTGGGGACCTACAGCCCCCGAACCTTTGTGAGGTAAGGCCTCTGGAGAGATCCTCAGTCTGTGTGACACGGTGGGGTCAACACCGATCTCCTAAGCTCTGTGCACTGTGAGCCAACATCCTACAAGTAAATCACATTTAACAGCAGCACCGTGCAGCATAAAGTTTATGGAGGATACACATAAATTTGGGTCTGGAAAGAACAGTTTCCTGTGGTGACAGGCAGCTAGGCTGGCGTGCTTTTACGCACAGCACCCCAGTTATGGGGATGAGTGCTATCAGCTGGAGGCCTCGGTAGCAGAGAGCAGAATGAGTGTTTGCACGGAGAGAGGGCACGCTGGCACCTGGCATCTGAATCCAAACTCCCAAACTGCTTTTAATGTTGTGGAGATGGCTAGATACACTGGAGGTCACTCCCTCTGAACACAGGCAGACTTCTTTCTGGAGGTTTTGGTGAACTCCATGGAAGGGGAGGGGGAGGAGAAAGGAAGAGAGCATATTTTCATTCTCCTGCCTTCCACGGAGTTCTACTTTAGGATTTTGTTTAGGACCAAGGACCTCTAAAAGAATGCACTAAATCTGACGTCTTTGGAGGCTTTCATACTGACATTAATATGGCCCTGTCCCTGATAGTTTGCCTCATGATCTGCATTTTCAGGTTGTCACTGTGATAATTCTGAGTGCAAGGGACCACGGAGTCTGCAGGGCTGAGGACTTCTTTTGTGTCCTGCCCCCCCCCCCAGTCCCCAGGCACCTGTGAGCCCATCCACATGTTGTAAAGCAAAGCATCACTCTCAGGAAAGGGGAGGATGGACTTGGGAGGATGAAGGTGAGACTGGAGTGTTGACTGGAAGCTAGAGTGTTATCCTGAGGAGATGTAAGGTGATCCATCTCTGTTAGATGAGGGCACCCCAGAACCACTGCCTCCCTGCCCCCTAAGAAGCCAGCGAAAAAGAGGCAGACTGAGGGTCTAGTCTCAGATGCACACAGGAACCCAAGGTGGCTGCTCTGCCTCCTCAGACCAAGGAGAGGAGAGGTGTGGGTAGAGGTGGCAGAGTGTGTCCCAGAGTGAGTTATGACCTAGAAAGGTTTGCACAAAAGCTGAGCCTCTTGAGAGGAAGCAACATAGGTGTGCAGAACACTGGCAGGGCTCTATTAGTCCGTGTTGGGCTTCTGGCCTCTCATCTTCTTAGCTGTATAGCCTGGGCAAGTTTTTTTGAGCTGTGATGTGGGGGTGACAGGCCTTACCGTGTGCCACTGTTTGAAACAAGGCCTGGATGAAAAGGTGACTTAGGAGGACATCTCTTTCCTGCCCCACACCATCTCCTGAACCCAGAATCTACTGGTGACACAGAAGGCTCAATACTTCCCAGGATCCTGCTCCATCACCTAGGCAGTGTGGGCTGGTGGGAAGTGGAGAGTTTGCAGGTCCAGCTTTTCACCTCAGCACTGTTGTGGTGTATGGGTCACACCCAATCTTCCTGGCTCTCCATTTCAGAAGACTGACAGATGACGCTCCATTTCCTATGTCAACCATGCTCTGCACTCAGTAAGTCACCTCAGAAGTACCTTCTGATAGGGGATACTTTCATACCCATTTTACAGGTGAGGAAATTGAGGAAGAAAGGTCACATACAATTTTATAGGTATTCCCTCATGATGAGATTAATACCCGAGAGCAGTAGATTCTACAAAGAAAGTTAAGGCTTAAAAAAGTTTCACACGGCACTTTTTTATTTTGTTTTGTTTTGTTTGAGACAGTGTTCCCTCTATGTGTAGCCCAGGTGTCTCAGAACTCACTAAGTAGACTAAGCTAGCTTCGAATGCATGGAGATAGGTCTACCTTTGCCTCCCTAGCACTGGGATTAAAGGCGTGCACTACAATGTGCAGCTTTAACACTGTACATTTATGCCTTTGTAAAGTCTCCTAAATGAGTACTCTCCCTCCCTCCCTCTCTCTCTCCCTCTCTCGTACTCTCTCTCTCTCTCTCTCTCTCTCTCTCTCTCTCTCTCTCTAAATCGACGAGCTTACTGAATGTTGTATTGCAATCCACTCTTAAACAATACAGATAAATGGGCTGTCATATATGTGTGGTGCACTAGGTATGTGTGAGTCAGAAGAGGGTATTGACCCCATGGAGCTGCAGTTACAGGAGTTATGAGCCACTCAGCATGGGTACTAGGAACCAAATTCAGGTTTTCTGGAAGAGCAGCAAATACCCTTAACTGCTGAATTGTCTCTCCAGGGCAAG